ATGCTAAGTGAAGTAAGTCAGACAGAGAAAGACAAATACCTTATGATTTCACTTATATGCAGACTCTAAAGAACAAAGAACAAACAAAACAGAAGCTCATAGATACAGAGAACAAACTGAGGATTGCCAGATTGGGGGGTGTCATAATTGGGGGATTGGGTGAAAACAATGAAGGGATCAACAAGTACAAATTGGCGGTTAAAAAATAGTCACAGGGATGTAAAGTACAGTATAGGGAGTATAGTCAATAATATTGTAATAACTATGTATGGTGCTAGGAAGTTACTTGAAATATTGGGAAGATCGCTTTGTAAATTATATGATACTCTAACCACTATGCTGTATTGCAAATTGAATGTCAACTGTAACTGAAAAATAAAAATAATAGTCACCCTCCAGAGCAAAGGACAGGCATGTTTATGCCCGTTATTAACCTCAGGGTTTCTCTCTTGTGACATAACTCACTGCACGTACAATTGTTACCTGGCTCTCTTTGTGTCACCCTCTGGGAATTGGGGGCTTACAGAACTGTCACAAAAGTCGATACTAGCTACTGCTATTTTCATGAGTAATAAAGTTTTTTGTCTCTGACCTAGGAGTCCTGTGTCTTTCTCCAACATCCATGAAACTGGCAGGATAATTTGTTAGCTTATAAGTATGATAAAATCTCAGATTCTTCTGAGTTCTTGACAGTAATATTTAAGCCATTCTTTTCAGAACTGTAAAATGGGCCCTTCTACAAGTAACTCTTGGTAAATCTCAATCTAAATTAAACCTTGGTCTTTGGAGTTACCTGAATAAAGCTTGGAGTTACCTGAATAAAGCTAGAAGTTACCTTATGTCTGTATACTATGTTCTGTTTTTCCTACATATTTTTTTCCCCACAAACCAAATTTATTCAAGTTAAAGGACTGTTATTTTGATATTGTCCTTCTATCAAATGATGATGTTAACAGTGATCTCTTTCTCTCTTTTCCCAAAATAAAAGCATTGCTATTTAATGTGGATGAGTGACACTGACAAGCACCATTTATTTATTTAAAACTGAAGTTTGGAGTGTATCTTGCCTTCAAAAGAGAAATGGGGTATTATTAGGGAGGACATTTTTTAAAAAATTGGTATAACGTGATAATTTTAACAATAAGTAATTTAATAAACTGGATAAATAAAACATAGTATGTTTGATAGTGACAAATGTTAAGGAAAAAGAGCGGACAGAACAGGATTAAAGTTTTAGGAAATATTGGTTAGGGAAGGCCTCACTGAGGAGACTTGAGTAAAGCACTGAACTAAGTAAGAAGACTCGCCACTCACCTGTCTGGAGGAAGAGCATTCTGGGTAGAGGAAGCAGCAAGTTCAAAAGTTGTGCAACATGGGGTGCCCCATGCAAGACTTTGAGGAGCTCAGTTTGTAGTACTTTGAAGACATGTTGAGAGGAATGTGCTGTCCTTTGTCTTAGCTGTCTTTCTGTGCTTCAATCGTACTACTTGCTTTTATGTTTATATATTAGTTACTTCTTCACTTGTGGAATGGGGTTTCTTTCTTTAAATTTAATTTTGAAAACTAATGAATTTGATAACTCTTTTGCAGTATTCTCCAGTTTTCATTGACAGTCTTTGTAAGTGTTCATCTTTCAACATTTAATGTAAGTCCCACATCAGCAGTTTTTTTTTAATTCAGCAAGTATTTGAGAGCTCATTTAGACCTTATTTTATATGATTTATTTTTTAATTCCTACATGGATTATATTCTCCTATTTCTGTTGAAGAAAAGAGGCTGAGGCAGCCTAGAATAATTAGAAAATAATCTAAGATAGCATACTACTAAAACCTCTCTAGCCAAGGTCACAAAGTACCTTTTGTTACTAAATATAAAAGCTAGTTTTCAGTTCTTTTTTAAATATTTCAGCCAATGGACTATAACACTTTAGTTTTTGTTGATTTTTTTTTTAATAGGTTTATTGATTTTACAGAGAGGAAGGGAAAGGGATAGAGATAGAAACATCTGTGAGAGAGAAACATCGATTGGCTGCCTCCTTGCATGCTCCTTACTGGGGATTGAGCCCACAACCCTGGCATGTGCCCTTGTGCCCTGACTGGGAATTGAACCATTGACCCCTTGGTTCATGGATCGACACTCAACCACTGAGCCACACCAGCTGGGCTCAAATCTTTTTTACCTTGAAAAATCAATACCAAACCACTTCTTTGAAATACCATCCTATCCCTCTGGTTGTACCATTTCTGTCTTAAGGATTCCTCTTTCCTTGGGCTGATACCTTGACCACCTATACTTCTCACTTTCCTGGATGCTCTGATCTACTTTACGGCTTCAGTTACTATCTACATATTGTTGATTCTCATATCAGAATTTCTGTCTATATCTCACTTTTCAGCTTTAAGCAGTTGTAATAAGTTGGCTTCTAACTCATCCATTTTGACAACCAATGGGCAATATGGATTCAGACATTTAAAGCAATTTTATGTCTTTTTACCACAAAGAAGAAATGAACTTACTCTTCCTCTCTTTATTTTATAAATAGTATGCTTGTCCAGTTGGTTAAGCTAGAATCTTTATGTTGATGCCCACTAGTCAAAGACCATTAGTAACACACCCATAGGTAAACAAACGTGGGTTTATTGATGCTTTCTGCAGCAAGGGAAGCCACACGTCATGGGGAACCGTGGAGAATCACGGCAACACCATGCTAGAAGAGAATTTGGGCTTTTGTTAGATAATTTTGAGGGAATTCAAGGAAGTGGTGGGGGTTGCTCTGGATTGGGTGCTGTCAAGAAGTGGGGATAATTCTATGATTGGGTATCTTAGTAAATCTTATCTGAGGTGAGAAGAATGGGGTCGGGTTAAAACTATAATTGGTAAAGAAGCAGTAGTCCCAGTAGTGCCATTTTTTTTTTTTGGTGGGTGGACAGAGACTTGCTTTTGTCTGTACTCTGACTCAGATAGACTTGGCTTTGCGTCATGATCTGATATTGGTGATCTGTGAGTTTCTGTTTGATAGAAATACATCACAATCTAACTATGAGTGCTGGCCCACCTCCTAGCTCTGAGGGGTTGCTTTTCTTTCTCACTTACTTGGAATAGGTGTAAAAGATTATGTACCATTTGCACAGCAGGAAGATGGATGAAGAGTGTTTTAGACAGGATATATAAACAAAGAATTTACATGGTATTAGTTGCTTATATGTGAGAAGCAGTAAAAAAGCTTATTCTACTTGAAATATATCAGTAGGCTCCAGCGTTGTATTGAGACAGAGGTGCCTAGTTTGTTTATTCCTTCCCTGGAAGACGGGTTGGGGTGTGGAGTTATGTAGCGATCACGTATGGAGATTTTTAAAGCTAAATGTTTACATACTTACAATGGGCCGGGCACTGAAGTACTTGTATGGTCTCTTTTAATTCATTACTCAGGTAAATTAGGATATAAATGTCCCTGGCATTGGGAATAAGAACCAAACTGGAGATCGATGTGAGGCTAACGGTGCAGACTGTAATGTTTCAAGAGTGTGAGTTTCAGCAAAATAGTTTGGGCTTGAGTCCTGCCCCCTCCTCACAGTTAGAGGTTATACCACCTTGGGCAAGTTACTTAACCCCCTAGAACCTCTGTATTTTACAGATTTAAATGTGCAATAAGTATACCAACCTCAGAGGGTTGGTGATCCTTGATAAGCACTCAGTATACAATGGCTGCTGTTATTACTTTTCTTTTACTGGCTATGTGACTTCGGACAAATCACAGAACTCCTCAGCCTAGGTTCTGACATCACTTTGCAGGATTGGTATAAGGATCAGAAAGTATACATGGACACCCAGCTTGCGTGGCTCAGCGGTTGAGCATCGACCTAGGATCCAGGAGATTGCGGTTCGATTCCCAGTCAGGGCACATGCCAGGGTTGCGGGCTCAATTCCCACTCGGGGGCATGCAGGAGGCAGCCGATTGCAGACTCTCTCATCATTGATGTTTCTCTCTCTCTCCCCCTCTCCCTTCCTCTCTCTGAAATCAGTATAGACATATTTAAAAAAAAATTGTTTTAAGTATACATGGAAGCATTTTAGAAACAGAAAGCACTATACAAATATAATAAATATTAATGTCCAGTATGTTGTCTCTCCAATGTTTGAATTTACTTAACAGGTGAAGGACTGTGGTTGGGTTGTGATTTTTGGGGCCAAATTATGCAGGATCTTGAATATTAGGATGAGAAATTTAGATTTGATGCTTTGGACTTTAGAAATCTAGCTATCAGACAGGCTTTAGAGCAGGGCAAAGAGATGACAAAACTGGTGGCATAGAAAACTTGGAATTGGAGAGGGAGGATCTAGAGGTTCAATGACCAGATTTAGGAAACTGTTTCAGGCTAAATAGTGGTGGTCTTGATTAGTGAAATGTCAACAAAAGTGAGAAATCATGGATGTTTCTAAGGAATTACTGTGATTTAGTTACAAGTTAAGAACAATAAAGGCTTCTTGAACTTTAATTTTGGAAATGATTGGTTAAATTTATTTAGATATAAATGGTTAATAAGTTTGAAGAAATAGCCTTGTGACAATATATAGGATGACTAGAGACTTGATTTCGGGTATTTATTTGGCTTTCCCCATAATGTACAGCCAAATGTGTAATGTGCAAAAAGAAGGCTTTGGAGAAAAGGTATAGGTTTCACTGGTAAGCTGTAAAAAATTTGGTTTTAAGTTAAAATAAGTATAAGTTTGTTAAAAATATGATTAAAACCTGTTTGCTATGCTTCAATCAGGGGTTAGAAATTACTTTGAAATGCATCAAAAATGAAAGATGGATAGAAATGTGATAAATATAGCAAAGTGTTGATTATGGATGTTCACTGCAAAACTCTTTCAACTTTTCTGTATATTTGAAAGCTTTAATAATAACATGTTAGAGGAAGAGTGGAGATATAAACAGTTTGCTAAAGACTAGTCTTGAGAATTTCTCTTCCATGACCTGAGACTTATTTTCTCTGTAGGAACTTTCCGCTGCACTTTTTGCGATACAGAGGTAGAAGAAGATGAATCAGCAATGCCGAAAAAAGATGCACGCACACTTTTGGCAAGGTTTAATGAACAAATTGAGCCCATTTATGCTTTGCTTCGGGAGACAGAGGATGTGAACTTGGCCTACGAAATACTTGAGCCAGAACCCACAGAAATACCAGCCCTGAAACAGAGGTGAGTGTAGTTCCTGTACTCTTAACCAAGAACACTTTTAAGCTTGCTCTTGTTTTAACTACCTGTACTTTGAAGAGGAAGAGTGGGTACCTAATTTACCGGAAGACTGAAGACTAATGTCTCATAGATTCTAAGCTCTGCCACACTTGTCTTATTAACTTGTGCCTGTGATGAAGTTTGTTTGTACTGAATGCAGAACAGTGTGGGCCTTAGGCAAAAATCTTTAAATAGTCAGGTTTGACTTCAAGTACTCACTCTGCTTAGGTCTGCTGCAACTCAGCCAATTACTAGCTGATCCTAAATTGGTAGTGCCTCTTGGGGATATTTGAATTTTTCTAGCCAAGTTCTGAAGGCTGAAGTTCTTTAAGGAATATAGCATTCACTTTTTTTGTTTTTGAAGCGTATTAACCACACCTTTCTTGCCTGCCTCAGTTTTCAGTGTAGCTTCCTTGAAAGTGAAGTAAAATAGGTGTTTCCTATGGGTTAGTACTATTATTATGTCTTCCTATTTTTTTTTAGTGTATCCTAATTGAATTGCAGAGGCAGCCTTAGTTTTGCCATGCCATAAAAAGTGGTTTATATTCTTTGAAAAGCATAAATGTGAATTGGGGTCAGCGAGTGTTTTCCTAACCACCTCTTTTCTTTTTCCTTCTAGTGTTAAACTAAGAGGAAAAAGCAAAGCACTTAGAGTTTATACCCTTTTACAGAACCCAGTAGTCCAAGTTGTAACTACAGCTTTTAAGAGCACGATGTAATACCATCTACGCATTATTCTTATGCTTCCTATTTTAACTATAGTTAATTTCCTGTTTATCAAAATGTTTCCCCACTATAGTAGTATTCATTTACCACCACCACTGTCCACCTCCCATTCCAGGTCTTTATTTAGATAACCCTTACTCCATGCCAGAGACAAATCTGAGTGGTGCAGTGACGTCAGTGGCCCTAGCAACACACCGTATCAGATAACCTGGATTCTCATTAGGAATGGTGATGACTCCAGGGATAAAGAACAATCAGGAAATAGAGGAAATACGTTGATCAAGAAAGAAGCTATCCAACAGCCCCATCACTAGGGAAGAAAGGGTGAAATGGAGGCAGGCAAAAGAGAATAGAATGGGTGCCAGCCAGAACAAAGTACAATTGCTTCCATGTGGTCAGGAGAAAGACCATTGGAGCTAGGTTACAAGGTGTTAACCTGGCTGAGATGGCCTCACCAAGCGTTTGACAAGCTCCACTGGCTGGATATAACATCCTGGAAGTGGTATTGATTTAGCCTTTCCCTACTATATAGGATGTGTCTCAGAGCATAACAGATCTGTAATAGCTATCCTGCCCCCAATACAGTGGTACCTCTGGTTTCCAATGTCTCAGTTGACTAGCATTTCGGTTTTCAAATGCCATAAACTCAGAAGGAAATGCTTCGGTTTTCGAACACGCCTCGGAAGTCAAACATGCCACATGGCTTCCACTGAGGGCAAGACCGTGAGGCCTAGCTGCCGGCTGTTGATCCCTCGGTTTTCGAATGTTTCAGAACTTGACTGGGCTTCCGGAACAGATTACATTAGAAAAACTAGGTACCACTTCTACAAGAAAAAAAACTACAATAGAGTTGCAAGGGAGCTCAGAGACTGTAGTGATTCATTGATGATTTTTTAAAAATTAAGTAGCATCATTGTTTGTTTGCTTACTGATCTGTAACCAGTTAAATTCTAGCTTATCCCTAGATCAGGAGCCAGAAGCTGCCTCTGCAGAATTAGTAGATTTAACCTGAGAGCTGATGGACAGTTCTCGCTTTTCAGCAAGAAATTCAATTTGAATTCTTAAATTGAATTCCTTGCCTATAGCCTCTCCTTTTCCATTATCTCATTAAACACTAACTTTAAAGATCTTTAAAATTAGTTTAAAATAATATTCCTCCCACACTCCCGAGCAAGAGTTATGTCTTTTTAAAGTTCTAAAATTTCTTAAATAATGTAAAAGGATTTAAAACTGAATTGTCAATTTTGTCATCTTTAAGTAAAATGTGTGTATTCTCTCCAGAGAAGAAATTTAAATATGCAGAAGGAGTTAACCTCCAGGTCTCTCATCTAGATTTTTAGTGTCACATTTGCTGATGATTTAGATTTGTCTGTATCTGTGGTGAAGGTAGAAATAAAATCTGTGTAGTCAACTCTCCATGGTTAAAAATATCTTTTTTTAAAAAGTCTTCCAAATTTTAAAATTTGTTTGACTTTTGGTCAAATCTCTTCTGTTTCAAACTGGAATTAAACCAGTCTTGAGTTTCTATAATAGAGGACTGAAAACAAAAGACTTATAAAAGTATTCTCATGCTAACATTTATTTTAATTGTCCTACTTTCTTTCCTCACTTTTCTTGTTCTTCTTTACTCAAAGTACTGAATACTTGCTCACCTTCAGACTTAATGCTAAAGTCAGAGCATAGGTGAAAGCTATGTGTTCAAGATTATACAGAGAGAAACAATAGCTTCAGAGAGAGTGAGTGAATCATTTAAGAATCTGGACAAAGGAGACACAGAAAAGGACAGGGGTGTAGTTGGCCAGGTCAGAACTAGAGAAACATTGAATATATGGAGAGAGACAGAAAAGGCATATGACTAGCTCAGGGAGACACATTTTGGGGCAGACAGGCATGTAGGCCACGTTCAACACAAGATAATGATGTTGGCTGAGGATAGAAGAGACATTCAGAGGAGTCACGGAGAAAACTGGGTGAAAGAGGAGAAACTCAGAATATAGAGTGAGCACATAAATGTATAAACACAGATCAGGCCAAGGTAGAAGAGAAGAGACAGAAAAGCGAATGCTTGAGGGAGTCTAAAATTCAAAAAGCCAGTTTACACCAGAGTAAGCAGGGTCAGATTACAGTGAAGGCAGCAACACAGCCTTTTAAAAGACATCAGAACAGGTAGAAGATGGAAAGAGAATGACTAGGGACAGATAAGGTTAAACTGAGACAAACATAGTAAATAAATAGTGCAAAAAGTACCGTTAGATGAATGCAGAAAGAAAAGATAGAGAGAAAACAGTTATTTACAACTGTAGCATAAGACTTTTAAATATAGCAAGATAAATAGATGGATTGGGTACAGAGAGACACCTAGTGAGTAGACTGAGAGTGGATCAGCAAATAACTGGTACAAAGGCTAGGGGAAAGAATGGTTTATAAACATCCCTAGGTATAGCTGGCAGACATGGATTAATGACTGGGTCAGCTTGGATTGAACAACTGGAGAGAGTGCATTTTTGAATGGCAAAAGTGGCAGTGGGCCTGGAGACATCCAGAGGAAGAACAGGAGGGATGGGATAAGCCGAAGATTACCTCCTGAGTATGGTTAGAAACAGTGTTCTGAGGGAGAGATAAAATGAGCCAATCAGATACTTGGACAGAGGAATCCATCAGAGAAATTTCAACTAAGCATGAGGCAGAAAGCTCAGGCGGATATAAATGGGCCTGGGAAGAAATGAAGAGCAATGGGGTAAGCACAAAGTCAAGTAGGATCCAAGAGAAGGAATAATAGTGAATGGCTTGTGAGAGAGAAAGATATGGTACAGGACATAAAGACAAGTGGAGAAGTATTGGTTAGGCTAAAAATGAGACAACAGTCCAAGTTCCATGAAAAATATTTAGAGAAAAGTGCTAGAGAAGTAAAGGAGAAACATGGGGCCAAGAGTCAGTCAGGTATGGAGAAGGATATGTGAAAGATGTATTACCTGGGAGAGATTTTTGCAAGACTAGTATCTTTAAGTGGATTATGTCAGCATACCATTCTCCCCTCTTCTTAAATAGATTTATTGCACTATCTTAAACTATAAAACCTCATTCTTTCATATACACCCGATGATCCAGTGTTTGAGGAACTTAAGTGTAAATATGATGTGTTCTTATAACCCATGCAGCTTTCACCCTGAGGTATAAAAAAGGTTTCTCAGAACTGTTAAAGCTTGAGTGCATGATTGCAAGATAGCATTTTTTCAATAGCTACCTATGCATCTGCCCTCCTTTCCCAACACCAAGACTTTAATATTTTTCTTCCTGTCCTCTAATGTTTTTATTCAGCAAGGACCGTGCAGCAACTACTGCTGGAGCTGCTGGCCTGGCAGGTGGGCACCACCGGGAAGCATGGGCTACCAAAGGTCCCTCCTATGAGGACTTATATACTCAGAATGTTGTCATTAACATGGATGACCAAGAAGATCTTCATCGAGCCTCACTGGAAGGGAAGTCTGCCAAAGAGAGACCCATTTGGTTGAGAGAGAGCACTGTCCAAGGAGCATATAGTTCTGAAGAGATGAAGGAAGGTAAGAGAAGTCATTAAAATGCGTATGTCTTGGGTTCAGTAGAAAATGAGCTTGACTTAGTGTTAAATTGCCTGGACAATTCTTGGTTTTATTGGTAATCCACTATATCTGTTTTCCGAAACAATTGCATTATAGCAGGAAGTAAGAAATTGAGCAGTAAGCATTAAAACCAAATAATATACTTGCATTTTCCTTCAACTTAGTTGAAGAAACAAATAGCTTTTAAATCTGTCTATCTAATCTATCATCTATCTATCTATCTATCTATCTATCTATCTATCTATCTATCTATCATCTATCTATCTATCTATCATCTATGTATCTATGTATCTATCTATCATCTATCTATCTATGTATCTATCATCTATCTGTCATCTGTCATCTATATCTCTATTTTTAATTGAGGTAAAATTGGTATATAGTGTTATATGGCTCAGGTGTACAACATTATAATTCTACAACTGCACTACAAAATGATCACCACCAAAGTCTAGCTACCATCTTTCACCGTACAATTGACCTCCTGCACCCATTTTGCCTACCCCCTAACCTCCTTCCCCTCTGGTAACCACCAATTTCTGTTTCTATGAGTTTGGTTTTGTTTTGTAATTTATCTTTATTGTTGAAAGTATTACAGATGTCCTCTTTGTTCTTTTTTTTTTTTTTTAAGATTTCTCATGAATAAAATCATACAGTATTTGTCTTTCTCCATTTGACTAATTTTAATTAGCATTAATACCCTCATGGTGCATTCCTGTTGTTGCAGATGGCAAGATTTCACTGTTTTTTATGGCTGAGTAGTTTTCCATTTTATAAATATATATATATATATATATATATCTCCCACATCTCTTCATTCATCGGTGGACACTTAGATTGTTTCCATTTCTTAGCTATTACAGATAATGCTGCAGTGAACATAGGGATGCATATGTCTTTTTGAATTAATATTTTTATATCCTTTGGATAAATACCCAGAGTAGAATAGCTGGATCATATGGTAGTTCTAGTCTTAATTTTTTGAGGAATCTCTGTACTGTTTTCCATAGTAGCTACAGTAATTTATGTTTATACCTAGTGTACAGAGTTCCTTTTTCTCCATATTCCCTCCAATACCTGTTGTTTCTTGTCTTTTTGATAATAGCCATTCTTACAGGTGTGAGGTGATGTCTAATTGTGGTTTAGATTTGCATCTCCCTAATTATTAGTGAAGGTGAACATATTTTTATTTGCCTGTTGGCTCTCTGTACGTCTTTGGAAAAATGTCTGCTCAGTTCCTCTGCCCATTTTTTATCAGGTTGGTGGTTCTTTTGTTGTTGAGTTGTATGAATTCTTTGTATATTTTGCATATTAATCTCTTGTCAGACATGATTTGTAAATATGTTCTCCCATTTAGTAGGTTGCCTTTTCATTTTGATGATGATTTCCTCTGTTGTATGGAAGTGTTTTACTTTGATGTTTACATTTGTTTCTCTTTTTGCTTCTGTTACATTTGGAGTCAGATCCATGAAAACATTAAGACAGATGTCATAGAGCTTACCATCTATGTTTTCTTCTAGGAAATTTATGGTTTCAAGTCTTAAACTCATTTTGAGTTAATTTTTGTGTATGGTGTTGAGATAGTGGTCTAGTTTTATTCTTTTGCACGTGGCTATTCAGTTTTCCCAACACCATCGCTTGAAGAAACTGTTCTTTCTCCATTGTATGTTCTTGGTTCCTTTGTCATAAATTAATTGTCCATATATGTCTGGGTTTAATTCTGGGCTCTGGAGTCTGCTTGATTGACCTGTGTGTCTGTTTTTATGCCAATACTATATCATTTTGATTACTATGGCTTTGTAATATAGTTTGAAATCAGTATCAGGGAGATATCTGATACCTCCAGCCTTGTTGTTCTTACTCAAGATTGCTTTGGCTACTTGGGATTTTTTATGGTTAGAATTTTTTGCCCTAGTGAAAAATGCCATTGGAATTTTGATAGAGATTACATTGAATATGTAGATTGCTTTGGATAGTATGGACATTTCAACAATATTAATTCTTTTAATCCATGAGTAACAAATGGCTTGTAATTTATTTATCTCTAATTTATTTCATCAGTGTCTTATATTTTTAGTGTACAGGTCTTTCATCTGTTTGGCTAAATTAATTCCTAGTATTTTATTCTTTTTGATGCAATTGTAAATGGAATTATTTTCTTAATTTCCCTTTCTGATAGTTTATTATTAGTGTACAAAAATGCCACCAATTTCTATACATTGATTTTGTATCCTGGAACTTTGCTGAATTTATTTATTCTAACTTTTTTTGGTGGAATCTGTATGGTTTCCTATATACTGGGTGGAGCAAAAGTAGGTTTACAGTTGTTTATATGGAAAATAATACAGTAATTAATAAATAATAATACAAGGAATAAACTCCGTGTTTCACATACTCTCACAACTGTAAGCCTACTTTTGCCCCACCCTGTATTATGCTTTCTGCAGATAGTGAGTTTTACTTCTTCCTTTCTGATTTGGATGCCTTTTATTTCTTTCTCTTTTCCAATTGCTGTGGCTAAGACTTCCAATATTATGTTGAATAAAAGTGGTGAAAGTGGACGTCCTTGTCTTGTTTCTGATCCTATATGAAAAGCTTTCAGCTCTTTACTGTTGAGCATGATGTTAGTTGTAGGTTTGTTACATATGTTCTTTGTTATGTTGAGGTATGTTTCCACTTTATTGAGAGTTTTTATCATAAATAGATGTTGAATTTTGCCACTTTCTTTTTCTGCATTTATTGAGATGATCAGATTTTTATCCTTTATTTTGTTTATGTAGAACATCGTGTTGATTGATTTGCAGATGTTGAACCATCCTTGCATCCCTGGAATAAGTCCCACTTGATCATGGTGTACGATCCTTTAAATGTATTGTTGAATCAGTTTGGTAGTATTTTGTTGAAGATTTTTGCATTTATGTTCATTAAGGATATTGGCCTATAATTTTTGTGTGTGTGGTGTCCTTGTCTGGTATAGATATCAGGATAATGCTGGCCTCATTAAATAAGTTTGGAAACATTCCCTCCTCTTCAATTTGTTGAAAGAGTTTGAGAAGGATATGTAGTAAATCATCTGTGAATGTTTGATAGAATTCACCAGTGAAGCCATCTTCGTCCTTGACTTTTGTTGGGAGTTTTTTGAGTACTGATTCAATCTCCTTACTAGTAATCATTCTTTTCAGATTTTTTATTTCTTCATGACTAAGTTTTGGAAGAATGTGTGTTTGTAGACATTTCTTCTGGATTGTACAATTTGTTGGTGTATAATTGTTCATAATAGTCTCTTATGATCCTTTCTGTTTCTATAGTATTAGTTGTGACTTCTCTTCATTTCTGATTTTGTTTATTTGAGCCTTCTCTGTGTTTTTTTCTTGGTTAATATAGCTAAAGGTTTGTCAACCTTTTTTTATCTTTTCAAAGAACCAGCTCTTTGTTTCATTGATCTCTTCTAATTTCATTTTAGTCTCTATTTCATTTATTTCCACTCTGACCTTTGTTTATTATTTCCTTACTTCTGCTAACTTTGAGCTTCATTTGTTCTTATTATTCTAGTTCCTTTGGGTGTAAAGTTAGGTTGTTCATTTGAGATTTTCTTGTTTCTTAAGGTAGGACTTCGTGCTATGAAATTCCCTCTTAGAACTGCTTTTGCTGCATTCTGTAAATTTTGGTGTGTTGTGTTTATGTTTTCTTTTTTCTCTAGGTATTTTTATTTATTCTTTGATCTTTTTGTGATAACCCATTGATTGTTCAGTAGCACATTGCTTAATCTCCACATTTTTGTGCTTTTTTCATTTTCTTTTTGTAATTTATTTCTAGTTTTGTACCATTGTGGTTGGAGAAGATGCTTGATATGATTTCAGTCTTCTTGAATTTATTGAGACTTGTTTTGTGGCCTCCTAATGTAATGTTCTGGAGAATGTTCCAAGTGCACTTGAGAAGAATGTGTGTTCTACTTTTGGATAGAGTGTTCTGTATATATCTATTAAGTCCATCTGATCTAATGTGTTAAGGTCATTGTTTCCTTATTGATTTTCTGTCTAGATGATCTATCCATTGATGTAAGTGGAGTGTTAAAATCCTTTATTATTATTGTATTGCTGTTAATTTCCGCCTTTTGGTCTGTTAATATTTGTTTTCATATATTTTGTTGCTTCTGTGCTGGGTGCATATAAATTTATAAATGTTATATCTTTTTGCTGAACTGACCCCTTTATCATTATGTAGTTCCCTTCTTTGTCTTTGATTGCAGTCTTTGTTTTAAAGCATATTTTTCTGAAATGAGTATGCCACCTCAGCTTTCTTTTCCTTTCTATTTCCATGGAAGATCTTTTTTTTTTTTTTTTTTTAACTTTTATGAGTTTATTTGAGTCAGACAAAGGATATGTCTAGAAACACGATCTCAACAGACAGTAATATGCTTCCTGCATGGAATATCTTTCACCATCCCTTTACTTTCAGTCTCTGCGTGTCCTTACTTCTTCTTCTTTTTTTAAAAAAATATATCCTTATTGATTTCAGAGAGAGGAAGGGAGAGGGAGAGAGAGAGAAACATTAATGATGAGAGTCATTGATCGGCTGCCTCCTGCCCGCCCCCTACTGGGGATTGAGCCCGCAACCCTGGCATGTGCCCTGACCGGGAATCGAACCTCGATCGCCTGGATCCCAAGTCAACACTCAACCGCTGAGCCACGCCCAGCCAGGCGCGTGTCCTTACTTCTGAAGTGCCATGGTGGAGAGCAGGGCTTTCACCTGGCCTGGCTATAATATGCATCAGCTGCCACCTAAGGGTAGGTGAGTGCTAATAGATTAGAAGGGGAGTTCCAAAATGGGGCCTTCCAGCACCAGCATTTGCAAGGTAGTATGAAATTACAGAAATGGTACCCACCATTGTTCATTCCCAGGGTAGGTTCCAACAGTTTTCTGTCTCTCTGGCAGATGCTTTAAGATTAGTAAGTAGGTTT